TGCTGATGAGCTTGTGGCCACTCTTGACCAGGACACCTGATTCACATAGGTGAGATGAACCCCACAGGAGCCTCTGCACCTAACAGACTGGTGACACTGGACAATCTTCAGGAAGGTTTCTGTATTGCAGTGGTTGAGTAGGATGAACTACATTTTTGGTGCAACAGGATTGTTAGTTACTCCCTTCTCTTATTCAGACTTAAGTGGTTTTTGTCATAGAATCATAGAACCATTTAGGTTGGAAAAGACCTTTAAGATCATCAAGTCCAACTGTTAACCTAACACTGCCAAGTCCACTGCTAAACCATGTCCCTAAGCACCACATCTACACATCTTTTAAATACCTCCAGGGACGGGGACTCAACCACTTCCCTGGGCAGCCTGTTCCAATGCTTGACTACCCTTTCCATGAAGAAATTTTTCCTAAACCTCCCCTGGCAGAACTTGAGGCCATTTCCTCTTGTCCTATTGCTTGTTATCTGGGAGAAGAGACCAACACCCACCTCACTACAACCTCCTTTCAGGTAGTTGTAGAGAGCGATAAGGTCTCCCCTGAGCCTCTTTTCTCCAGACTAAATAACCCCAGTTCCCTCAGCTTCTCCTCAGAAGACTTGTACTCCAGACCCTTCACCAGCTTCATTGGTCTTCTTTGGACATGCACCTCAATGTTTTTCTTGTAGTGAAAGGCCCAAAACTGAACACAGTATTCTAGTTATTCTGTGGATGTACTATTGCTTGTCCAGGAAAATGGAAATAATTCCATAGTAGAAAATAGTTGGAAAACACGAAAGAGGACATGAAAATATAAAGGAAACAGAAACATAGCACAAAGCCATGCTATGCGGATTTCACCTGACTTTGGGACTGAATCTAGTCCAACAAGCCACCAACATCTAAGGACTAACTGGATCTAGTCTGCTGCTTCCAGGACTTGTGTTAGTACTTATGGCAGTGCTAAATCACATCACAGAGACATCCAAGCTTGTTTTAAACACAGCGATCTCTACACAGCACAGCTCTGCATGGTGTGGACTTGCGGGGGCAGATCAGGATACCCCATTATACCTGACTGACAGCATTCATGATTGTGTTGCTGTTCCCATATTCCTCAATGATATCCTCTAAGCTTTAGGAGCAGAAATCAGAAAACTGCACACAATCCTACACACAATTCTACAGCACAAATCTAACCCTTGCAGAAAAGAGCTGAAAAATGTGAACAGAGTCCATCCTGGAATATTTTCCTAGAATGCCCATGACTGCTTAGTTATAGAGCTATCCTTTGCCATATTTATTTATAGAGCTGTACTATGCCATATTTAGGTCAGTCTCAGCTTTTGGATAGCTTGGAAATGCCAAAATTGTACAGAATTAATAAAAACATCCATTCATAGAGGGTCAAATCCTACCTTCCCGTCCAGGAAAATGATTTTTGGCTGTACGGGAACTGCTTCTCCATTTCTCCATCTGAGGGCTGCACCTGAACAGAGATGTTATAGACAAGCATGTTCCTGGGTGTTGTCTGCTTCCATTTCTTTCACATGCAAAGGAATGTTAAAAAAAAAAGAATCAGAAAATTAATGCTATGAAACCACCCAATGCTAGTCCCAGAGGTAATTCACATCTTGCCTGTGTCTAGGAATGACATGTTACTTTCTGTTCACAGGATTTTAGAATCATAGAATCACTTTTGTCACTTTTGTTTTTTTACAATCAGAAATTTGAATTATCCAGACATTTTTTATGTAACTATAAAATATTACTGTAACATGGTCTTTCTCAGTATGGATTACCCAACAGGATAAACCTGTGAATCTGTGCCTTTCTCACTACAACCGAGCATCCCCAGAACAGTTCTCAGGATCTGTAGCATTTAATATATGTACATAGCCAACAAGTCATTTTGATGAGCTCACTAAATTTCCTCATTTAAATTCGCGGATGATCAATTGTTGGACTTGAACACATTTCTTCTGCTTCTGATCATCCAACATCAAATTACAAGCTATAATAAAACTTCTAGAGATTTTGCAACCTACTCGTCACCAGATTCAGAAGGTTTCCTAATTTTTCAAGGGGGAAGGGAGGAAGGATGTTGGATGCAAAGTGAACACTGACCTGCACTGACCCCTTCTGGAAAGCACCAAAAATGTACTATTGGAAACTAAACCTGTACTGGTCTTGGGGGCACGTGTGGGAACTACGTGACCTAATAGCTTCTTCCATCTCAATTTCTATGAGTTTTAAACATGCTTGGTTGGAACGGCCTCAGCCTTCATAAGCTATTTGCATAGGTAAGGCTCTGGAGTAGACATACGTGTCATCCATTAGCACCCAACAGACCGGAAAAGGCCCAAAGGACCAGAAAAGTTTCTTTGTAGAAGCAGAAAATAGTTATATGTTATAGGAAATAAGAAAAATAGCAAAACATATTCCATTTTTCAGACAAGAAGTTAGTATGAAAAGAATGCAAGTTAGTATGAAAAGAAAAACGGAGCCTTACAGAACATTTACAATGTCTAATCTCAAAGCAGTTTAAATGAGGGAATACTATTTCTTTGAGAACAGTACCATAAAATCTCTAGAGGCCATAAGCAATTAGGACATAAGTTTCTCATCTAAAATACGATACTCCTTTGCTCCTCACCAGACCCACACTTGGGAGTGCAAGTTTAATTTTAATTCAAAAGGAAAAGGAGTCATTCTTCAATGGCCGGTGACATCCTGTTCCATTTCTTGGAAATGTCCAGTTCTATCTAAACTGGATGACCCTCCGCAGTGCTGACAAGTCACAGACCATGGCTGAACCAACTTACAGAAAGAAAATCACTTTCTTTTCTCTCTTGTGTACACTGACATAGTATTCAGGGCTATTCTTCCTTTCCCCTGAATATGAGAGCTTGATGAAATAAACACATTCAAAAATTATCTGCAAGATATCAGAAATATGTCAAATTTCCAAACTTGGAAAGAGATGATGGGCTTCAACTCAAATTGGCACATGCTTTGTTTGCCTCTTCGGGACTCGGTGGTCTGCATTGCTAACAGTTGTACAAAATACTCAGAAGACAAAGAAAACATCTCGGGAGAAGAGACAATTCGCTCAACCAAGGGACTCCAGGGTTTTCAGAAAGCAACTACTTTCCTTCTTTGCATTAAATTATGTGTCACTTAAATTCCTTTAGAGACAGCATTTGTTTGAAGTTGAGGCGAGCAAGTGGAGTACTTACTGTATCTGAACTATCACCATGTTGCTGGCCTCTATCTGTCCGACCAAAAACCATAGTGCTGCTTAAGTATCTTCATCAAAAGTCCCACGGCTTGGGGAAACTCTTGAACAGCCCCTAACCCTCTGTCTACATATCTTTACCATGGTGAGCCAGCACTGTGCTTACCAACTGTTGATTTCTATCCCTTGAAGAGAGTCACCCCTTTAGGTTTTCCCCATCACAAGAGGCAAGAAAGCCAGCAGAAGAAATTACATTTAATTTAAGCCATTGAATAAACTCTCCTGTCAGGTTGTTGTAGAAAAACTCCTCCCACTAGGAAAAAATTATCTATATAAAGAAAAAAAGAAAACAAAAACCTCATAAAAATGTGACATCACTACGCCACTGTGCCTAGCAATGCTCCTTCTCCTCATAAGGAAGTTATCCCTAGACTGGATGGCAGTACCTATTTTGTTTGGCTCTTATGTTTAAGCTTTTGGACAAGCTAAAGATCACCCTGCTTCTAGAGATCATTATATAGCATAATGCTGCAAGAGAGGAAGAGGTCTCTTCTGGAAATATTCTTACTCAATTTGTTCTCTGAATAACTGGGATTCAATTTGTTCTCTGAATAGCTGGGATGGCCCTGTTTTCATTGTTTAGCATAGAGCACAAGAGTCTGGACAGAAGCCCTGCCTTCATTCTCACTTCTTTGGAAAGTCCCAGAGTTGAGTGCTTAGATCTGCCATGGAGATTTGCAGACTGGACTATAACAAGAAGAAAGTGTAAAACCCAAGAGGAAGGAGGTAGAGGACCTCCCGAGACAGGAAGATCAAATTTTTTATTAAATTTTACCTTTATGTCACAATTTATATTTTACATTTTAGCCAGAAACTCAGAAGAGCATAGAGAACACCTTGCATGAGCACTGTTGACCAACTGCTGGAATAGAACAGCACGAACGTCTACCAATCCACACGCCTTCCAAGGGATTTTATCTCACTCCGTTAGTTTTGCTTCCTGGATTTTTTTAAGCTAAACTACCCCCTGCTCTTCCTCTCACTGGAGAGCCAGCAGAGATTCAGGAGCTGTGGCAGGAGTGTAGCTCAGGCCTCCATAACACAAAGCCAGCACTACCTCTAGATTCACCTCCACCCCGAGCTGATACAAGCTCAAAAAGTACCCAAACGCCAAACCCCAAAACAAAACTTAAACAGACAAACAAACGAAAAATTAAAGAAAACCATCCCAGGGGGAACATGCTGGGCAGCGGAAGAACAGCCTCCCGCCCCCTTCTTCCCCTCAGAGGACAGGGGCGGGGAAAGACGCGCATCAAAATGGCGCCGGCAGAGCCCGCCTTCCCGCTGGCGGAAGCGGGAGTGACGACAGCGCTGGCGACGGCAAGATGGCGGCGCCCAGCCTGCTGCGCGGGGGGCTGAGGCGGTTGTTCACCCGCCCCTTCGGGGACGGGTGGG